GAGTACAAAGGTAACCTCTACGGAACTAGCATTGATGCTGTGAAAGAAGTTTTAAACAGCGGAAAGATCTGCGTCATCGACATAGACGCTAACGTAAGTCCAGGAAGTTTTACCAGGGAACAGTTTTAGAAGCAGAATCAAAGATGTAGACTGAAAAAAACTTTCTTTGCCTCCATTTTTTTAGGCAATCCAGGCAGTGAGGACACATGAACTGAGAGCCTACATCATTTATGTGAAGCCTCCATCTCTGGAGTGCCTCAGAGAGACAAAACAGGAGTCCTACATCACCACCAACTACTATGTCAACCGCCCTTTCAAAGTATGCTCTGCAGCGGCCATATTGGAGACAGTGGTAGTGTTGGTAGCAGATATTATATGGAGGGAGTTTTGTTTCATTATTGTTGCAAAAAAACATGATTTGTATATGGAAATTTATAGAAAGTGCAATCCAGAAAAAGAAACTTTAGAAAATGTTTCAATAAAAGTAAAAATATTTTAGGAGTAACTTAGCTGTTTATTATTACATTTTGGTACAGATTTTGTATTTTCATATTTTCTTTTTATATTGGGATTTCNAAAAAAATAAACAGAAAATCTAAGAAAAACATTTTTTATTTCTGGATTCCACTTTTTCTTTTCAAATTTCCGTTCACATAAAATGTTCTTTGCTCCTAACAATAATGGAATAAAACATCACTCCATATCTCTATGTCCATGCAGCTTCTTGCAAATATCATACATATATATATATATATATATATATTGAGACTATCAGGAGAAATAATAGCTGGGACTTCAATTTTATAACCTCATTATTCCTTAAAGTTTAGCCTCTGACATTCTTTTCGTGACCATCAGCGGGCTTCAGGCGTAGCATTCGTCTCTGTCGGCGGCGTTCCCACAGCATCACTCAGCCATCCTGCAACCTCCGCTGTCCAACCAGCTGCTACAGCGCCCTGAATAACCCTTATGAGGAGGTGGTTCGCTACCAGCGCCACCCAGAGGACACACAACGCCTCATTACGCTCCTAGGTATTTTTATTTTTATTAGAGTTAAAAAAAAAAAGAGGATAGCAACAAATAATCATGATTTTCTTTTTCATTAGGTCCGTCTGGTGTGGGCGTGAATGAACTTCGGAGGCGCTTGATCGAGATGAACCCAAACGTCTTCCAGGGAGCAATACCTCGTAGGTTTAATCACAAAACGCATTAGGATTTATTATTGTCTGAACTCCAAGTCTCTCATGTTTATCCTCAGACACCACCAGAAGTCCAAGAGGGTATGAGGAATCCGGGAGAGAATACTACTTCATCAGTCGAGAGATTTTTGACAACATGGTCTATAATAATCGGTAGAGCTGCTATTTCCTACAGCTTTTTTTTCCCCCGTTTCTTTAAATGTCTGCATTATTTATATGTCAAAGCTGCTGTTTTTGGCAGGTTTCTGGAATTTGGCGAGTACAAAGGTAACCTCTACGGAACTAGCATTGATGCTGTGAAAGAAGTTTTAAACAGCGGAAAGATCTGCGTCATCGACATAGACGCTAACGTAAGTCCAGGAAGTTTTACCAGGGAGCAGTTTTAGAAGCAGAATCAAAGATGTAGACTGAAAAAAACTTTCTTTGCCTCCATTTTTTTAGGCAATCCAGGCAGTGAGGACACATGAACTGAGAGCCTACATCATTTATGTGAAGCCTCCATCTCTGGAGTGCCTCAGAGAGACAAAACAGGAGTCCTACATCACCACCAACTACTATGTCAACCGCCCTTTCAAAGTATGCTCTGCAGCGGCCATATTGGAGACAGTGGTAGTGTTGGTAGCAGATATTATATGGAGGGAGTTTTGTTTCATTATTGTTGCAAAAAAACATGATTTGTATATGGAAATTTATAGAAAGTGCAATCCAGAAAAAGAAACTTTGGAAAATGTTTCAATAAAAGTAAAAATATTTTAGGAGTAACTTAGCTGTTTATTATTACATTTTGGCACAGATTTTGTATTTTCATATTTTCTTTTTATATTGGGATTTCAGATTGAGTTTTACAAACTGCATTTTTTAAAATTGCATTTCACACATTACATTGGCTTCACCGTAAGTCCCTCTTTAAACATTGACCAATAAGAATGTTTGTTTTCTTATTGGTCATCCTTCCAGACCAATACAAATGCGTCTTCACTCCTCCCTCCAGAGGAGAGCCCGCCCCCAAAAGTGAACAAAATTTAATCTGTGAAATGCAAGTTAAAAGCATTGCAGCTTGAAAAACTGAATCTGGAAAACAGACATTTGGAGAAGAAAAAAATTAAAATGTTTAGTAAAAATATAAAATCTGTAGTTTTGTAATTATACAATTAAGGAAATAGAAAAAAACAAAAAGTAAAAAACAAAGTATAGAAAACAAAACCAAGCACCAACACTACAGGAATATAAATTAATAATTTTTGATGATTCATTTTTTGCAGATTTCAATTTACAAAAAGTTAATTGAAAAGTTTTTTTAATCCAATTTCCAAGTGCTAAACATGTTCTGTGCTTGGAAAAGGGAAAACAAAGTTTGGTTCATGAACACAAAGAAAATGTCAGTGAATTCTTACAGGATGGACTTGAACTATGAGTAATTTGACTTTGAACAGGATGAAGACTTCCAGGAAATGGAGGAATCAGCCCGGAAGATTGAGGCCCAGTACTGGCAGTTCTTCGATGAGGTGATCGTCAACGATGAGCTGCAGGACTCGTGTGTCCAACTGCTGACAGCAGTCAGGAAGGCGCAGGATGAACCTCAGTGGATCCCTGCCTGCTGGATACGACCCACAGCAGAATCATGAGAGGGACGAAACTGACTATTTTTCACACGAGATAAAAAAACAAAACAAAAAAAAAAGTTGGCTGAGTGTTTGATGAGAAACAGGTCATGAAAAATATAAGACCTTTGATCTGTATATGTTTAAATCCCATAAGAGCACAAAGCTGGACTGAAGCCCTAGAAAATCCCATAAACTGTGTCACAGTTTAATTTGTTTATACCATTCTAAATTCATCAGTTTTAGATCTGCTGTAGCATGCTTGAGGATGTTCAGATTAAAATAAGTCTTCTGTTTTTTTTACTTTGGATGCAGCTCTATTTTACAATATGCCGATTCATTTTCAGATATTGAAAACTTGCTTAAGACATTTTCATTTCTTATTAAAATGTTAAACTTCTAACTTCAACTATTTTTGTGTTTACTTTTGTTTCTTCGGTTTTCCAGAAAAAAAGGTCTTTGAATATTAATAGTTGGAATTATATGGAGTAAAATTTGTGTCAAAAAAACATGTGCGTAGGTTTTTCGATTTGTAAATGTAAGTCAATAAATCTAAATAAATATAACAATTGTATCTGTGCTTGTCGTCCACTCATGCATACATGAAAACATGTTCTACAAGTATAAATGACAAACTTACAAATGCAAGCAACATAACGTAAAACTTTTTTTACAATCTGTGATTAAACGGGCAGAAGTGGAAGAATGTTAAAAGCATCCACTGAATGTTGTATTTTTGCTGAAATATTTTCAGCGCAGTTTAAAGTTCAGTTGATTGTTTTGTTCTTGTCTTCTCATTTTAAGGCTATTGGCGAACAACTGTCATGTTTTACCGCCACCATCTGGTCGGGAGTGTAATAGCATCGTAAATTTATGACTTGTACTTCGTCCTTCCAAAGTTGCAACTTGTATTTGTAAACATGTCAGATGTACGAATGAGTTGACGACGAGGAACAAATACAAATATTGAACTTATTTTCTTTTGCTGAGTTGTAGTCCCCTTTGGAGTTCAGTCCCTTTTTGCCTACGTTTTTGACAGCCATCTTAGCCCAAAGGCGCAGAATAAAATCAAAGAATTCAAGTTAAAAATCTATTTTTTTTATTGATTTTAATTTTCCACATTATTAAAAACGTTTGAAAGATTAAAAATGTTGGTTAAATCATTCAGAAAAGTTTAATATTTTGCCACGTGTTTCGAGTTTTAGGCTCCGTCTGAGGTGGTCATATGGTAACGTAATACTGTAGTCAGATATATATTCCACATGCACACACAATGAAGATGCACATGAAATATGCATGTATTAATTACATTGATATGGTAATTACGTATAATTCCAAGATTTTACATCAAGACTGAATTACATGTCTGTTCCATGCTATAGTATTTTTCTACTTGCAAATTGTGCATGCGTGGTGCCATGTTTTTTTTATGCTGTGTCTGTGCATAAGTGTGCAGGTAAAATTACCTGTGAAACTCTAACAGAGCCAGAAAATGGCTTGTTTTTGCAGTCAAACGCTGCATACATAGGATTTTTTTGTGGTGAGACTTCATGAGAGTGGGGAGTATCAAGATGGTGGCAGGGGACTTCACTTTTTTTTGGGTTATCAGCATTCCATTGAAAAATAGAGATCAGTGGGTGCAGCTTTGGTAAAGCTTTCCTAGAATCCTTTCAGAAGTTAATAAATAAGGCACAGTGTGTGTCTGCAGCCTATGGTGTCTGTTCTGCTCTCACCTTCTTCATTCACTCTACTTTTTTCCTTTGATCAGCAGATTGAGACTTCAAGCGAGGCATGGTTCCCCTTTCCTGCGTTTTTGGGAAAATGCTTGTTCCACCAAATGACTTCAAAGAATCCTTTAAAAAAGTTTTTGCATCCGGATTAGGATGTAGGGTCGCTCCTTGGCATGATACCCACCTTTGGTAAAAATGTCATCAAAATCCATTCATTACTTTTCCAGTTATCCCACTAACATACGAACATGACCTCCTTGGCGGAGGTAATGAAGCATGGAGGGAATATAAACAGTATAATAAACTGATGCACTGCTTAACCTTTAATTCAGCTTGTAAGTTAAATATTGCTAAAGGGTATTAGCAAAGATCTTATGCCATAGTTTGACTCCTTACTGTTGATCTATCACACCTCCAGTTTTACGTCAATGACGAAACAAAAATAACAAATTAGGAAATTAAATGATTTATTAAAATAAATTGTTAAATACAGGAACATATTGTTTAGAAACGGATCATGGAGGCGACCGTCAGTCATAATCGTGGTCTTTAAGGTGAAGAGGCCAGTGCTGAGAGGCTGACACCTGCTCTGCCACTTCCTGTCGTAGAAGGCGCCCTCCTTTGGCGCCCTCCCCCTCAGGAGGTGGGGGATCGAGCGAAGGCCAGGGTTCTTCTACGGCTGGCTCCACAATGTCGCCGTTGGTGACTGCCAGGTTATGGAGTATGGCGCAAACAGCGGCCACTTTAGGGGCGAAGGTGGTGCTCACTTCCAGTGCTTTGAAGAAGACCCCTCTCCATCTGGCCTTCATCATGCCGAAGGCCTTCTCGATGACGCAGGCCTTTGGGGGAGAAACATGTAGTTAGTTCATACCCCTCCCACCTTTGACAGCTTCAACACCTACCTTGGCATGACGGGCATTGAAGCAGGCCTCCAGTGATCCCTGCAGTGGCTTATGGTAGGGGGTGAGGAGAGCTATTGGTGTGTTGATGCATGGGTACCCCCCATCCCCCACAATGAAGTACCCAGAAGGCGGGTAGATGCCGCCGACAAACACCGGACTGTTCTTCAGCACCTTTAGCTCAGGCACAGACCCGGGGTAGCCGACGAAAATATCCAGGAGTTTGCCGGTGCTGTCGCAGATTCCCTGAAGCAGGATGCTGTGGAACCGCTTCCTGTTCAAGTAATCTGGAGCCGCCCCCGGATGAGACGCCTTAATGGGGATGTGACACACACCGATGGCTCCAGCGCAGCGGCCGAAGGCGGGACTGCCGGCCAGATGTTGGAAGCCGCTCCCTATTTCTGGACACTGCTCTGGTAGGGGAAACCCAATAACTCTGTCTAGGAGGGTCAAAATGGCGTCACACACACGGTGGACGAGGTCGCACACCGTAGATCTTGGCATCTCAAAGGCGTTAGACACCAATCGGTACGACAGTCCGTGCGCCAGCCAGTATAACACCATGAGGATCTCCATTTCCTGGCCCCAACCGTGCGTCTTCTCCCTCCTGAGCAGGTCCATCAGGGCCTGAATGGTGGTTCTTGTGAGCCTGTAGTCTCGACGTAGATCTTGGGTTTGGTCCAGGTACCGTTCCCAAGGAGGCACTATGGAGCTGGGGGTGGCGTAGATCGGCACATCCTGCAGGAGAACACAAAAGAACTGACTCAATGCCAAGTCCCAATATCGGCACATCTACCCAACTCCACTACTTCCTGAACTTCACTTTGTCTCCAGTCTTTCATTAATGGACAAACTGATTGATCCAGCTGTGCCGGGCCATTATCGTCATAGTTACTGAGGTCACCACTTTTTCCTAACCTTAAAAATAGAAACATTTATAACACATACATGATGTATGGTTTTACTAATTAATCTGTCAGTAAAATCTTTTCCACTCATTTATTTCAAATAAGGACCTTATGTAGAAAAAAAAACACATATAGTAACAGTGACCCTCAATAATACTATCTATAAATGTATAAAATGGCCAATTTTTTGTGCAGTGAAATAAAACCAATTTAAAATACCAAATTAAATATATGTTGGTAATAAATTTAAAAGAAAAGATTCAAATTTAAAGTAGATGAATGAATTAATCAATTATTCTGGTTGTACTTTACAAAATAATTAGAACCTTTCAAATTTTGAATTGGGTCATAGATTCTGCATCAACTGTCCAAGTTGTTCCTTTTTTGATTTGCAAATGTTCATTGCTCTATAAAAAATAGCCTGACTTTCTTAAGTCTTTTTCTTTAGATAATGGTGCTCTATAAAAACATTGAAAACAAAATAAATTCAAGGAAAATATGATATAAAATGTTGTAATTCTTTTTTTTTTAAATGTCTTTATTTTTATTTCTACTATTTTTATCCAGTTCGACTTATTGCTCCACAGATGTTTTAATATAATGAGTATTTTCGTATCTCACATGTCAAGTGCACGGTTGATATATATATATATATATATATATATATATATATATATATATATATATATATATATAAATATGTTTCATTTAACTTGTTTTTTAATAAATAAGGTTAAAAAAAGTGAGCTTCGGTTTCAGTTTTCAGGTGGATTTATTATAACAATGTTTAACTGTGGATTTGTGAATACTAAACAATGTATTGTTGAAATTTCAACTTGACATTTTTTAACTCGCAATATTACAAAAACAGGGACTGGTCACTGTTACAATTTGGGGAGCAAGATCTATCCTACTTCTCAAGATTTCAAGAAAAGGAAAACAGTTGTTGCTATAGCAACACAGGGCCTCACGATCCATACTTTCAGCTGAACAAAAAAAATATTTACAATTTTGTTTAGAGATTGAAACACTAAACAAGAGCAGATTCTGTTAGATTATTAATCTTTCAGAAGTGCAATAATCTCCATTTTTTTCCCATTTTTCTTTAATTTGAGCTTTTTTCAATCTTAAAATGAAAGTCATTCTTCCCATAGTGAATATTTCCTGCACAATGTCCATCCACTGAGTGTGGTTGGGTGGCTCAGGTCTGAGCCATCTTCTTGTTATGGCTTTCCTCCCCGCTGACAGTAATATTATAACCAAATACAGATCATCTTTTTTCACATTAAACATAAGGCCCAGATACATTGTGGTAAAAGTAAACGGAACAGAATACAACAGTACTTTGAACAGAGTGAGGTGGATAGAAGACCAGAAAGGTTTTATCTCAATGCATCTCTAGAAAACATGTGCATGGTTGGCGTCAGCAGCACCACATTGTCTCCAACACATTTGTTGGGTGGACAGTTGCTTACTTTTAATAGATGGCGTGATAAAGAATCAAATGAAATTGTTCCAGTTGAATTTCCTCCATTTTAGTGAATTTGTAGAAGTCTGAGACATCTCACAGATTTTATACCATTCCTTATTGGAA